GCGACGAAACTGGGTTAGCGTAATAATTCTATCAGCGAGTACCGTAGGAGTAGCCACTGTCCAAATAGCGCGGTGATTGCTCGACGCGCGTCGAGTTGGTTCGTCTTATGGACAAATCCAGTGTACGTCACGCCTCATAATCCATTACGTTCTTTTTCTTTCTTCGTTGTTGGTTTCGGGGATTTCGACAAGTATCCCGGCACCGCTACTCGACAGTTGGATAAAACGCCCAATTATCCTCCTAAGTCCATTGACCCAATCCTTCTTAGTCATTGGCATTCTAGGAAAACCTGATTTTTCTTGCCATCATGCTGCAAAAAACAAAAACTTATTTGTGAGATATAAAGAAAAAATTTTGTAAAATGAAGTCTAATTCCGTAAAATAAGATTTATTTTTGCGAAAGTGGACTTTATATGCTACAAATAAATTTTTAAATATTTTTTTCAGCACAGCATAGCGCGCGCGCAGTTAAACTTGTTGCCCGCACTGTGTATGACTTCAAAGGAGAGTTTTTCACTTGACTTGACTGTAAACAAATGCCAAGAAAAATTCGGTTTTAAAGTAAATTTTAGATCAATGACTAAGGGAACGCCTATAATTAGGTGTTTTACTCTAATGCTTAGCTTCAAGAGCCACGTAACCATTGATCTGGCGATATGTGATCGCAGTGGAGTCGGCGGTCGCGCATTTAGAAACGTTTAATTGGCCTCACGTAGTAAGAATCACGAAAAGCATGCGCGCATGGCATCGACATCGAGCATCCCAGCGCGTAATCATTGCAACATCGTAATCGCTCGGATGCGTCATACAGATAGCGAAGCCGCGTGGATAGAAGGCGAACGCGCCCGCTCGCTCGCACCGCAGGCATTGCTCCGCGTCTCTACTCCTCGGTTTCCTGGCGGCGATTAATCTACCCCGTGTAACGATTCCCTCCTGACAGTTCTCATCGCGGAAAGTAATAGCCGCCGCCAGATGAGGAATTCAATGGAGGCAGTCCGGCCCTGCCGTCGGTCTCGCCACAATAACCACCCACGAGACTCTCGCTTGTCGTAAGACCGACAAATGTTTCCGCTTAGGGAACAGCGGCGAACCCTTCCGCCGCCACCGCCGCCGCCGTCGCACGGCGACGAAGAAATCGGCCGCGAAGGGGTCGGAGGCCGCGTAGGGGAGAAATCGGGAAAGGGCTCGGCACAGAATCGCCAGTGGTGTGGCCGTAAAAGCGGCGAGAAAGTAAAATGGCTGCCATGCGACGGAATCATTTGTCCTGGGAGATGCCTCCGGCGTCGGCAAACACACGACGTCGCACGCGATAGATCGATCCGCGTAATCGAGGGTGGGATGATGGAACGGTGTAATACCCGCGGCCTACCTGTCGTTATCGCGACATTTATCTGTGAGCCATTCCGCGCCCGATATTCTATTATATCCCGCCACGACCGTAATCCATTATCGGCGCGTCCGTATCCCGTAGGCGTGTGCACGACCTTCGGTATCTGTCCATTGCGCGTTTATTAATCGCACCGGGCGAACACCCCGGGATCGTTAAAGACTCGACGGTACGCGACACCATTAAAGCGCCCGGAGTCACCGCCGCCGCCGCCGTCGCCGCCGCCGCCGCCGCTGTAACTCCCGACCGCTTTCACGTTTACGCACTGTGCATCCTGTTAGATCCTCGATATAATTATTATTCCGATCGTCGCACGCAGACTTTTTAATCGTGTGCACTCGTCACCGATTGCAAGTAATCTATTGAACGTTAATTATTGGGTTGTCCGAAAGGTCCATGAAGATTTCTCAGTAGATGACATAATTTTTATTAGAAAGTTAGTTCGTGTGATATGTCAAAATTGGCATATCAATTGTCTCAAAACATTGGAGCAAACTTGGAATGTTGAAGAACTTCAATGTTTGACTGCCACATGATTTGATTGAAACAAATCTCATGGATCGCATTTCCATCGACAATTTGCTGTATATAATCTAACGAAAATAACCCATTTCTTTTTTTTTTAAGTTCGACTTGCATCCGAAGAAGATCATGCTTTGTATCTGGTGGGATTGGGAGGAAATTGTATACTATGAGCTACTACCGGACAACCAATCCATCAATTCAAGCAAGTATCATTCGCAACTAGATCAATTAAAGGCAGAAATCGGCAAAAAGCGTTCAGAAGTAGTCAATCGGAAGGGTGTTGTTTTCCATCACGACAGACCTCACTTCTTTGCAGACCCGGCAAAAATTGTTGGTGTTTTGCTAGGATGTCCTGCCTCACCCATTATATTCACCTAACATAATACTCTCCGATTACCACTTATTCCGGTCGCTGCAAAACTTCCTTAATGATATGAGCTTGGCTTCTTTAGAACGCCTCAAAAACTACTTCGATTGCTTCTTCACCGAAAAACTCAGGACTTTTACAATAGAGAAATTATGAAATTATATCCAAAAGATAGAAAAACAATTGTGGAACAAAATATTATATATATATATATATATATATATCAGATTAGAATCATATTCAACTAAAAAATTTATTATCTGAGTTTTCAAAATTCGAACGAACTTTTTGGCCAATATTATGTTTCGTGATAATGTTGCGAGCTGCGACTAACGTGCGCTAAAGTAACAAGCGCGAGAAGAAAGATCGTGGTGGATGATGAGGGAAAATTCCGAGCGTCGATGTCCTATTGTGACAAGAACGATGTGCGAACAGAATGAAGCTACCAGTTGACGAATAACCGCATCCCGCCGACTATCTACCTGATCTAATGCGTTCCGTTTCTTAACGGGTCGCTCACTCATCGTGGCAGGTATCCGCGCGGATGCCATTGTCTACTTTCCGCGTTGTTTACCTATGTTCTTCGCGGATACTGTCAGAAAGTCCCGGGTTGTGCATGGAAGTAGAGCTAGGGAGAAAACACAAGGACTTCTCTCGTTGAGAAAATTGAGGCAAATCACTCCTTATCACAAAGAAATATAAGACTCGATTGAACATTTCTCCAGACAGACATATGAACGCAAGTTTGGAAGTAAGTTTCTTTCAGTTGGTTTGTAAGTGTTGCATCCCTTATGGGTCATTCGTATATGATTGGGATCAACTTGATCAGAAAACCATGGAATATTCTAGTCAGGTACGTCATGTAAAGTATAATTTTTAGTAAATCTGTTGCTGCATCAACAGAACTAAAAAATTTACGTCATCATTGATTGTCTCACGTCATGATAATCATAAAAGTCTAGCTGAATCGTTAATCATAATGTATAAAATATCGCAAAGATGTGATGAGCATAGCTTAAACGTATGTTTGTGCGACGTCGTTGACACATGACGATGCTTTTCCGAGTTTCAAAGAATGGATAGATAAGAAAGACACGGTATATCGTGCTGGTATGTGCGCGTACGCGTATCGATGCGACGTGGACGGATGGATGGCGGATTGTGCCGGGAAAATTCCGGAGCCGCGGGGCCGCGCAGCACAGGGATGATGGTGTCTTTCGAAAAACTCGTAATCCCGCTCTACCCCGTAATCCGATTTGGCCCTGGCCAATCGGCTGCTAGCACTGCCGGTCCTGTGTAATGGAACGACCACCGAGCGAACGTAAACGAGAGCAATCGGAAGGAATCATCCGCCACGGTGAAACTGCGTTTACTTTTTCATTACTCGAATCGATCGAGATTTAACCGTCGCGCTAGCTGGACGCTCGCGCAAGCGGGATACACGAGCGACGTTCAACACCGAGCGATTATACGCGTCGAAACACAAATCGCCAATCGGTATTATACGGCGTTCGATGTTTTAACCGGTAATCCGTCAAATAGCGCGGAACATTGCGCGTGAAAATGTATACTTGAATAGCGTGCACATCGTGGAGAGGTCGAATGCCGAAAGTATGAAAAGTTCGCAAACAGCATCTCGCATCCGTGTGAAACATATCGATAAATATCATGTGTTATCGTGTTTTGTCTCACTTCATTGTATGTAGAATTATTAACTACGTTTATTTGTTTCATAAAAATATTTTTAAATACATACACCCATACATATTTTTTAATTACTTCGTTTGAAATCTTTTCGTGCGCATCTCTGTGTACATTTCGTGGACCAATTTCACTGATACTGTATATGGTTTCGAGATTAAAATAAGACTCGCCGAGCTACGTGGCAAACGGCAGAGAGAAGTAGTGTAAAATTGGAATATCTATCACGAGACTGCAGCTTCCGCGGTGGTCGTGCGTTCGATAAAACGGAGACGCCTTCGGCGCCGTCGCACGTCCTCCTTGATTCCACGACATACTCGCTCTGGTCGTAGCTCTGTCTGAGATATGAGACCTACCCTAGGTGATGAACACAAGGCTCCACAGAAACTGGATATTACATTTTAGTGATGATCACCGTCTCGCGTCTTAACAATAGCGAGAATTCTCTTTGATCGATGAACTTCATCCCATGAAATAATGCAGACGCATATAACAAGATGAATCTTGAGCGCCTTCCTCGATAACAGGGATCTACGAGCTTCATTAGTTCGATGATACTGGAGAACGTGACAAAGAGGAACCAAGAGGAGGAACTCGGAACGAGTAGCCCGGAGAACGGACTAAAAGTAGAGAAATACGTAAACATCTTTGCCTGAGAGAAAGAGGCAGAGAGGGAGAGTGCGGCGGTTGGCAACCTATCAATCTTATCCAGCTATCAGCGAGTGCCGGGTGCAACTACGTCGAAAAGAGTTCGCTGCGAGATCACAGCAACAGAAGCAACAGCAACAGTGGCGTCACGGCAGCAGGAGCAGCAGCAGCAGCAGCAGCAGCGGCGGCGGCGGCGGCGGCGGCGGCGGCGGCGGCGGTGGCGGCAACGGCGGCGGCAACGGCAGCAGCAGCGGCAGCATCAGCAGCAGCTCGAAGGATCATACCGTTCTCCCTTCCCCACCCCGAGCACCGCGAGAGCAGCAGCTACCAACTTCTCTGTCCCGCATTCTGCCAGGTGCATCGATCGCTCTCTCTCTCCTCGTCTCACTCCTTTTCCGCCGGCCGGAGGGGCGGCATGAGAGGTGTCGCGGGTACTGGCCGATGGTGGTGGTAGAGTGTTCAAGGTGGGGTTCCCGTACCGGATAGCACAACGTGGAAGGGATAATTAAACCGACACAAGCGTAGCTCCCTACACTGCCTAACGGAAGGACGAAGAAATGTTACCATGGCTACGTGGATGGGATCCGGCCAATCCCGGTGTACCTCGTAGGCGTGGTCTCTACATTGGCACCCCGATACCTTCTATCTCCGTCTCTTTTTCATGCTTTCAGCCCCTCTGCCGTGGCCGCCGTATGACGAAGGCAGAGGTGATGATGGTGGTGGTGGTGGTGGAGATGGTGGTGGTGGTGGCAGCGAGAGAGAAGTAGAGGTAGGTCTAGAGAACCCGTGAGACTGCCCGGTTGCAACGGGCGCGTACAAACGTATCATGCTGGGTAGGGCCGGTGCCGAGATGCCGGCTTGTAAACGAAACCAGTTTGCTATCCGATACGATCCAAGCAACAGCGGCCTCGCGTGATATCCCCACGACGTGGCAGAGCGTCAGCGTGCCTGGCCTAGTGGGTGTTACCTGAACGACGACCTGGAGGACGTTCGCGCGGACGACTCGCGGCTGACAGTGGTTCGCTAGCGATTTTCGGTGAACATACCGAGGAGCTCTCACGACGTGGCCTTGCGCTGTTCTCCAGTCAGAACGAGCCGGCGGGATACCAGCGAGCCGGGTTAGGAGTCGCCCCCAAATTAGACAGTGACGTGACGCGACTCGAGAAAGATAGACGCCAATGTGGGCTCTCAGAATTTATTACCTGCCGCAGCAGCAGATAGTCGCCGTCGTCCACCAAGCGATTCTATACCGTTCGGTCTTTATGAAAGGTTGAGGTTCTCCTACTCGTGCACCGGTACCGTCTCTCTATGTAACAGCCGACAGATTCCTCTCGGACAGCCGTAGGATCCAGTAGTGTCGATGGTGAAGTGGAAAATCCTCCAGTGACCGTTTCATCCGTTCGTAACGAGGAATCGCGATCGCGACGAATCATGAGAAGAGCCAAGGGCAAGCATAAATCGTAGCGCTGCGCCTCCTCAGCCGCGACAAGCCGTCGTCCGGGTGATATCGACGCTCCGAGAGAGAACCGGGACAGAAATCCGGCCGGTGGATCCGTCGGCTGATCGCTAGACTCGAGGAAAATGTCCACCGTAGCGCCCGCCGGGAACAGCACCGCGGGACCGAACGGGAACGGTCCAATTGTACCTGCTCCGGTGTTCGCACTACCGACGTTGTCCTTTACCGTCGGCCAAGTGGCCACGGTCTGCGAGACCTTAGAGGAGAGCGGTGACATCGAGAGGCTGGCCAGGTTTCTATGGAGCCTACCGGTCGCGCACCCCAATATCCAAGAACTGAATCAAAGCGAGGCTGTCCTCAGGGCGCGTGCCATCGTGGCCTTCCACTCGGGGCAATATCGCGAGCTTTACGCCATTCTGGAGAGGCACAAGTTTACCAAGGACTCGCACGGTAAGCTACAGGCCATGTGGCTGGAAGCGCACTATCAAGAGGCCGAGAAGCTCCGCGGAAGGCCGCTGGGACCGGTGGACAAGTACCGCGTCCGGAAAAAATTCCCGCTGCCGAGGACGATCTGGGATGGCGAGCAGAAGACGCACTGCTTCAAGGAAAGAACCAGGTCGCTGCTGCGAGAGTGGTATCTGCAGGATCCCTATCCGAACCCGGGCAAGAAGAGAGAGCTGGCCTCCGCGACGGGGCTCACGCCGACGCAGGTTGGGAATTGGTTCAAGAACAGGAGGCAGAGGGATCGTGCCGCTGCAGCGAAGAACAGGTACGTGGTGCAAACGTATATACTCCCCAATTTCTGTTCTCGTCTAACATCTCGTTAGACGGAAGGAACGAAGTGCCGAGAGAGGTCGGCGATCGTTCAATGACAAAAATCGCGCTTCCGTCGCAAGCCCGTCCGACAACTTGTCCAGCTTGTCAAACTCTGAATCGTTGGACTCGTTCAAATTGCGATGGCCTTTTTTACGAAATAAAGGAATCAGCGCGCAACTTCCGACGGGGTGCGTTTAGATGTTGCACACGCGTACGCTAGGAGAAAGTAAAGAAAATATGTAGAAAGGGTGGCTGAGATAACAAATCATGATGAAAATGACAATTAAATATAATATAAAAATGATGTAACAAACTTATAAATCATAAACGATGCACGGCAGATATCGAGTGCGGAGATCGCGAGCACCGTTGACCCAAAAAGGAAATAGGATCTTTTGCGGAAGACTTGTTTTCTCATGAGATTTTTATGGCTAAACGACAAACCCATATGGTCAACATGTTTCGACGCGCGGCCTAATGTTTACTGTGGAAATTTCTCGTGTCACATCGTTCACGAATCATTTTCACATATACACACACACATATTATCCGCTTCATCGCATTGCGAAGGTTACCGACGTCGAAAGTGTATATTTACAAATTGCGACAGTGTCGGGTACTATTAGAACGGTGTTTATCGATTTCACATCGTGAAGCATCCCTCTCTGCGACTCTCTCATATCGATTCCCTCGTACATAATTTGTAGGATCGCACATTCGCGCTTAACGCGGCACGTCGAGGCATCGTTTTGCGAAATGCCACGCGAAAAGGATCCTCGGCCGTGATAAATCGAAGAACTCAATTCACACAGACGGGATCGCGCGTCTCGCGAAGATTCGTCTGCGGTTGGTCGCGACGTAGACGGAAAGTTTTGTTCATTAAGTAGCGTTTAATGGAAGTTAATCGCGAAACGATTAGTGGTTTAGGTCCCTTTAGACAGATTGTTGTACTGTGTCCTCGGCAAACGAGCCTTTGTGCGTGCCCCAAGGTCCCCGTGTGGAGGGTCGCGTAATTTCATTTTGACGTCCGACGAAGGGTCGCTGCCGTCGGGCGAACGACGATTTTCGAATTACGTCTTTCAAATTGTGTTTTGACGTAGCTCTCTCACTCCCTCTCTCTCCTCTCTATCCCTCCGTTCGACGATATACTCGGGCGCCGAAGTTCCAGGATAGCTTTAAAATAGCATTTGAATCAGTCTCAGATCCTCTCGTTCTCAGTGTCTTTGTGCGAGGAAATCAAAGGAGGAGTAGAGTATCGCGCGGAAATATTTTTCCTCTCCCGTGACTCTGAATATGCTGCATCTTTCGGACAATTAGCGCTCCAAGATAAATCCGCGAGCGAAATTACCATTTTTTACAGGCTAAAACATCCAAATTATTGACATTCCCCCCAGTCATTGACACTTTAGAGAAATCTAATTTTTCTTGCAACCAGCATTGCAGTTAAACTTCTTGCCTGCGCGCTTTATGACTCCAAAAGAAAACCCATTAATTAACTTCACAACTAAAGCCGTATTAATAATTATTACTTGAAACATCGTCTCAAGTGATATACTCAGACCTGTATTAATAGTCGTTACTTGAAGTTTGTCTTAGTGATACTCAGATTCTCACTCAGAATTAGACCCAAGTTTTTTCAGTTATATGATACATGTAACATTATCTCTGCAATCGCGACTCAACTAAGAAACTCTCACTTAATTCTGAACTCAAATCTGAGTATCTCATTTGAAAAAAATTTTAAGTAACGACTGTTAATACGGGCCTCAGATTTCAATTCAGAGTTAAATGAAAGTCTCTCACTCTCGCAGTTGCAGTTATAAATGTCACATGTATTATAATTTGACGGGAAAATTTTGGATTTCTGACTATCTCATGTGAAATAAGTTGCGGGCCTGAGACTAAATAAATGCCACTGGTCTCAAGAAAAATCAGGCTTTTCTGCAGTATCAATGAATAAAGGGGTTGTCAATAAGCGGGTGTTTTACTACCTACTCCTGCAACACCTTGGCCTCTCATTGAAGCATGACATATTGCCGCAAAGTTACTGGAAACATACTCCGCGAATGAGGACTAATCGCATCAGTTAGAAACTTGCGCGAGCAGTCGTTCATCATGCTAATATATTCTAATTCCAACATGATATATTTCTTCGACACCGATCGATCGTCAGTCGCGCAGAACGCGTGTCAAACGACGCGGATGTAAAATTCCGACGACACGCGGCGCGGAATCCTCGCGTGTGCGAGATTGCCCCCGATTGCACTTTAGGGGAGAACGCGCAGCTCTGAACGACCTGTAAAATTAATCAGCTGACTCTTACGTGCAAGGCACTCATGTCTTCAGACTAAGAATCCTCCCCCGATGGAGGCTAAAACATTTAAACGGTGAGTCGAGAAGATGTCCAAAGAGCGACGAAATGGAGACGAAATGATTTACGACGCGCGAGACTCCCCGCGATCTACCTTCGATTGAAGAACACACACATAACCGAGCCTTAATTTCTCTCGTACGAAGAGCGATGCGTGTCGTTCTCTCCCTCGTCTCCGTCAAGGAAAGGTGTCAAGCGACACGTTCGGCTTTTCGTCGGGTTTAACGCGCGCGTCGCGTCCCCCGATGTCGATAACGATTCTCGCGAGCGACACGCAACGTTCCGGTAGATCAAAATGCTAATTTATTCCGTATCGGCGTGTTATTCCGATCGCAAATCAGGATGAATGCTTCGATAACCCGTGCACACGTGTATGCACCCGCCATTCTCCCAAGTGGAAAGTCGCGATCGACCCAGATCTGTCCCAGGGTGTGCGTGCGCGCGTGTGTGTATGTATATGTGTGCACGCGCGCGTGGACGTGTCGTATAATTATTGCGCTCCGAATGAAGTCATTAATTGTCATTACCTACGTCTAACGCTGTAATTGATATATCGTTAACGGCCGGCGATGTAGCTCGACCATACTGCTCTAATTGATCTTGATGAGCTCGCGTAACGGATAAAGATTATACGTTTGAAATTTGCGCTGCCTTTTTTACCCACACATCCAAACACACATACACATGTGCCTCGCCGCGACGTTGTTGCGTTGCACACAACGCGTCGCGCGTTCATTAGAGGTGCGGGAAAATGTTTATGTAACATTTACCACGTAATATCCGTAAAAATAGAACGGCCCGTTGCGTCATTGACGGTAAAATAGATCGCCTCTCCCGCGCGCGCGTCTGTGCCTGCGCTGCCGCTTTTCCGGAGCGCGAGGAGAAATATTCATAACGCGAGATTTATTGAATAGAACGGTACCAGTTCGAATTATATACGCGACGGCGCGATAAGATCGAGTCAAAACTGTGCCGGAGGTTCCTGTGCGCGACCACGTTAATGATTAATTGCGTTAGAAATGCGGTTGTACGCGCGTGTTTTTGCACGCGTGCCGTAACGCGATCGCGAGAGATGTAACATGTCGTTACGCGAGTTTCGAAAATAATTGCCGAGACGCGTGCGCCCGTTTTAAACGATCGGCGGATTATGAACGATTGCTCGCTCCTCCTGACTCTCGCGCGAGTTGCAACAAGCAGGCTCGATCGCGCGGCTACTTTCGTTTTATGAATGCTCATCACTTGCATTCGCACGATCATGGTCCGGAATGTTTTTGTTCTTCTGGTCTTTATATGCAAATATTTCAATATATCCCGAGAGCATAATGGGTTTTTAGTCTCTGGGAGGCTCAGCCATACTGAACACGGTGTTTCTTAGTAATAACTAGCACTGAGAAAAAAATATTTGGTATTCGTAACTCTAATCGCATAGAGAAAAATGATTACTATGAATTGTGGTTGAGGAAACTATTTTTTATTAAATTCTACTATAATATTAGTAATTCTACTATATGAAATTCTACTATAATATTAGTGATAATAATATTAATATTAGTGATAATCTTATATCCATGTTACTACTACTATTACCGTGTTAGAATAACCAAAAAATATATTTAGGTCAAAAACACTATAATTCTAGTTAGATCAACTATTTTTTCTCTCGGTGAGCTTAAACTATACGGTGTTGCTTAGGTTATCAAGGGATCAAGGGGATGAAATCAAGGGGAGAGAGTAGAGTGTATGTGTCCAGGTTTCACATGATAGTCTACATCCTCCGCAGAATCTTATGGAATAAAACTATGCAAAATCCAGTTCGGTCAAAAAATTTAGAAGTGTATGGGGAACAAACAGATATTCTATTTTATACATATAGATAATAACCTTTAATATAAATGATATGTACATGCATTGGATATATACATATATGTCCCATGTTTTAAAAATATTCGTATTTAAAGACGAAAACAATGAAAATACCCAGGATTAAGTACGCATCCGGGCATTGGTACTTTTACCTTGCTATCATTAATTCATTTTAACACCCGTCCAAAGCTTCCGCATTATACGCTCTCTTCGCGTTTATGTGTAAATCATATTTATCTTGTATCGATGTACTGCTACAGAATTGTCATTATTTTGTCAGGACGCGCTTGTGCTCGCGGTGGAGTTGTTGAATAATTATTATTGTTATTATCAACTTGTGCGTTTTATGATTAAAAGTCCGAGATGGAAATATCGTGCTTAAACGAGCGGAACCCCCTCGCGATACGAGATCCAGTGCGCCATTCTGCTGTCACATTATTGAAAAAAACGTGAAGCGCTTCAAAAGATCGTTCATGTTGGTCACAATCCCGCGGCTCTTTATTCAACTGAAGCTATCCAACAATGGCTGCGATGTACCTATCGTTACCCGACGTAATGACATTCCGTATCTGGCCCCGAGCCACATTTTCCCGCACGTAATCCTTCGAATCCCAGGACGAGGTCCTCGCTTGTGTGCACGTCCTACGCCTAGAGAGACGTAGGAGAAGATAGAAAGCCTCCCAAGGACCCCGCAGGTCCTTTCAGACATATCGACCGGC